CCCCCCCTCCATCCCATCTCCTCCTCCGTGATCCCTTTTTCTTATTCTCGGAAGGGCTTCGCGCGCGACGGCGGCGTGGCGCTGTGATCTCGTCGATGCGCAAATTGTTCTCTTGTTTTCCATCTCCGTCTCGGAAGCGCTTCGACGGGCCGCGCGCCCTTGTACAGGGCGCGGCGCGGCGCTGCCGGCTGTCGCGCTGGGCTGAGGCCTCCTGAGGAGGAGGACGACGGCGGCGGAAATCGTGAATTTGTAATCCAAATGAGGGGGTCTGAAAACTTCCTCCAGAGTCGAGCGGCGGCCTGCCCGGGCCCCCCGAGGAGGGGCTGGCCGCGCGGGACGGGGGGACGGCCCGGGACGGCCCCTCTGTCCTGTGCCGGCCAGGAGGAGGGGTTTGTCGTCGCCTTGGGCTGGCCGGCGCCCCGGAGCCTCGGCCCAGGTCAGGAGCGCAGAGTAATGGGATTTGGTCTTTTGTTCCCAAGATGCGCCCTGCCGGCCCAGGTGCAGGCGGGGGCCGGGCCGCTCCCAGCGCCCCATGCGGGCGGCGCTCCAAGTTCTTTGGGCCACCCGCGCCGCCAAGGATTTGCGCCGCGCCACGCCGAGGGCTTTGCGCGGGGCGGAACGAAGCGGGGCGGGGTGGGGCGGCGGGGCCCCATCGGGGGTCACAGCGGCTCCGGGGGGCTCACCTGCCGCCGCGCGCGCCCCGCGCCGCAGCGGGACCCGGCTCCGGCGCCACCAAGGGGGCCACACAATAGGAGGCCGTAGAAGGACTCCTGAGCTAGTGGGACCTCACCCGACCCGCATACAGAGATGGCGAGACACTGTCGGCGAAAATTACGGATTATGCATGTTGCTCTGTTAAACAGTCTCCCCCCCCCCCCCCCGTTTCCTTTAAGGTCTCCTCCATGAGCGGGCCCCGGTCGTGGCGCTGGGACGTTTAGATTAAAAAGATACAAACGAGCGGTGTAATAAACAGTTTACGCCGAGCGGAAACTTTCCTAATAAAATTCTCCGACAAACAAGTGGCGTGCTTGAAAAAAGAAATGATTAAGGTCGGGACTATAGAGTAAACATGAGAGCTCACCAAAAGTTTGGTTGAGGACGACAGTTGCGGCGGGTGCTGTGGGTCCGGGAAGGACGACGAAGGATGAAGATGAGGACGATGAAAAATGAAAAAGGAGACGAGCGGGAGGAGCGAAGAGGGAGGGGGCGTCACCTCTGATATTGCTTTAAAAAACAATTAGACGCCGTTTGACCTCTTGGTCTCGAACGATAAAGCGTTCAGGTCTCTTGCGGGGGTGCTCCCCTCCCCTGTGTCTGGGCCGCCAGCCCCTCCCCACCTCCAGCACCTCCCCTCCGCCTCCGCCGCCGCATATATTTTCACCGGTGGCGCGCGCACTCAGAATTGCTTACCGCTTTCGACCCAGGCAACCTGTTGCTGTGCCAGCCTCTAGCACTCACCTCGGCTCGGGGGCGGGGCGGGGTGGTCGGGTGGCGTGGCGGGGGGTGGGCTGATTTAGTAATACTTCTCGCCGCCGTGTTTCCCATTATTATGCATTTCCCCGGCGAGCCCTCTTCTTGCGGTCGGTCGGTGCTCGGCTGATGATACACGCCGAACCGCAGCGCCGTCGTCGCCAAGCCAAGAGCTCCCCCATCCCACTCCCCAGCACTTCCTATACCTCGCTGAGCTCGCTCTCTCTCTCTGCTCTCTCCAGGAGCAACGCACCGCGCGCCTGGCCACTTTACGCTTTAACTTGAGGGGGTTCGCGTCGGTGCGCGTTACCTGCGCAAAACAATCATATTGTCTTCTTTCCTCGTTTAGGCCGTCATATTACCGAGTCTCAACCGCGAGAGTGTTATATTATTTTAGTTGTGTGTGGGTGTGTGTGTTGTTTGTTTGTTGTTTTTTTTTTTTTGGAAGGGGGAGGGGTAAATTGAAGAGATTAAAATTTCAGTTATCAGAAACAAGAAAAAAGCGTTACAAAATTGCAATGAGTGTGAAGAATGTATCTTACTAGTAAGCATATAGAAAATGTTCATCCATACTCTAGTGACACATTAAACCCTTTTGCATTTTGCTGTACCGGGTGTAACTGTGAATGCGCAGCAGTGTTGCGGGTTTGCCTACCCAATTCGTCCGTAAGGCGCCATGGCCCCTGCAGCCCTGGCGGGTATGCAATCCCGCGACACTGCTGCACATTCACAGTTACACCAGGTACATAACTATTACAATAAGCAGCCAAAAGATTATTCTCAATTTCATCCATAATTATGTACAAATTCCAATAATTGTACATTAAAATGCCGCTCGTAATTATGCTTGTTGATGCACAACAGAACGCTTACGGGTTTCACAGATGTGTGTAAGGAGGAATACCAGAGTTGACGATCCCTCATTGCGCCCTCTATGATTTACACTCCCACGCGGTAGAGCATGTTTTTCCACGCAGTGTGGCCGTTTGCCCCAGTGCCCGATATAACTCCTCCCTGGACAAGGGGAAATGCCCGGCAGAGTGGGTTCGCCCCGCCGGCCCCGCCGTGCAGCCGGGCGCCCTGCTCACCTGTGGCCCCCGGCTACTTCCCCGGCTGCTGCTTCCCCTGTGACGCACACGGGCTGCCGGGGGCGGGCCGGGCACATCGCCCGGGCGTTGTTACGCGTCTCCTCCACCCGCGTGCAGCAGAGAGCAGGGGTGACGGGCCGCATTACACTCTGGTTACACCACATCATCGGCGGCCTCGCCCTCTGGCCGTCGTCCTGCTATTAGCACATTCGGCTCGCGCATTATGGGGACCGAGACACCACACTGAGCGGGGCCAAGCCGGGCCTGACTCGTTTCGCATCGTGAGGCTAGCATGGGGCCTTACCCCGCCCCGCCATCGGTCGCCCACGACCCGCCACGCCCGCAGCTGCAGCTGCTTTTGACACTGCTGCTGCTGCTGCTCATGCTCTCGTGCTGCCACCACCACTCGCGGTGTCCTCTCTCGCTTGCCCGCCCCTTTTACCGCCCGCTACCCCTCTTCAACTCCCCCCTCCCTCCCCTCCTCTCCCTCTCT